GTACCGTACTACTATATATATATATATATATATATATATATATATATATATATTGCAGTTTCATTAATAGATTACATACACATTGGCTGCGTTCAACAGAGAAAACAGATCAGTGAGCGTTCAATGATTTTTTATTATGATTAGTTTCTACACTTATATTCAACGAAAATTTAAAGGCCTGCATTTCGTAAAAGAACGTAAGAATAATAAAATTATTAAGCAATAATTATCCCTTATCCCCACGCAGATATTCTTTCATGTTTCATTAATTGAGTCTACTTATTTATTTAAGCAAAGTTTGTCATGAATGTCAAATTGAAGCGTTCTTTTACGAAATGTAGGCTCACCTTATAACACGATGCAACAATTAAAACAATAATTATAATGTTATTTATATTGATACTAAAATTATATATTAATACTAAAATTGTATATTGATTTGAATCGAATGAAAAATTTAATTACAAAGAATTAAAGAGAATTAAAGAGAGAGAGAAAAAAATTTTTATGTAAAAAACTTGGCACTGCTAGATCTTGATTGAAATAATAACAAAGTAAAAATGACAAATTTTTATTTAAAAAAGTAATGACAAGATTTAAGGAATATATTATTACTTTAAATAGTTTTATTTTTTTATCCAGTGCCAAGTTTTTTTTACATAAAAATTTTTTTATTTAAATTAAATTTTTTTTCATTTTAAATAAAAAAACTACTATTACTATTACTTCTTTAATTCTTTGTAATTAAATTTTTCATTCGATTCAAATATATATGTATTTAAAAATTCTTTACAGAAAAATATGCCGGAATATTACATATACATATATTGAGATAAAATGAAAGCTACTACCACTTATGTTAGATACATATTATTTGAGTTAAACGCAATTTTATAATATCACTATTTTTTAAAAAGAATTAAAGCTACTATTACTTGGATTTTAGAATAAGAAGATTTTAATGGAAATACAAAGATACGAATCATTGATTGATTTACATTTTTTAAAAGCAATTGTATATTTAACTTTCAAGATAATAAGACTATAACTTGGCGCCACATTTTTTATATCAAATCTTTTATATAAATGATATACACATTAAGGTTGATCATTAGATACTATTTGAATTTAATAAGATTGTGATATAATACTTAGGTTTAAATAGAATCTTACTATACTTGACACCCTTTTTTTATCTTATTGTGAAAAGGTAATTTTATAGTGATATCAGATATTTTATAATATTAACTATCTTTCTATATTCGAAAAGCGCATCTTGATACTTTTATAATTGACATTTTTTTCTATAATAAGCACAACGAGAGTAAATAGAATAGAGAACAAAAGAACGAGTGAGATAGCATATTTTTTTCTTTTATTTCTATACGTTACTTTACGTTCAATTATATCATTTTTATACACATATATCTTTTACACATATACCTTTATTATAAATGTAATTCTACCACTTACTTACGACACAAGAAGTTAATTTTATTTGCACACTACAAATTTATAAATGCGCGGAAAACTATTACAATAAATTTTTAAACTCACAATAATAGTTGTAATTTTACACATAACTTTTTATAAAATATATAATAGAAGAATTATTACGCAATCATAATTAAATAATCAATTAAATCAATAATTAGATAAGTATTAAATAATAATCAATAATTAATCATTTAATGATTATTTAATTATGATTGCGTAAT